AATCTTGATTGAGATTGAACTCCACTCGTCTCCGGACCCCATGGTTTCCTCTTTGCTTTTTCCACAAAAACGCATTCTCGCTTGCCTTCCGAAGACCTGCCGCCGAGTTCTGAGCAACCTTCACTGACGGGCAGTGTTTGAAGTGTGCAGTGCATTTTGAACAATTCCAGCATACTTCGCTCCTATTTTGTGATTATGTACAATAAACAAGTTGTTGAAGGGATTTAAATTACATAATCCTAGATTCTACGTACTGCTAGTAAGTTGTTTATTGGTATGTAACAGGGTCTCTTGATTAATGTGTTCCTATTCTAAGCAAGTAACCTTACCTAATGTTATCTTCTCACAAGCATCAGGTGGTAGTGTAAAGCCTAGCACTGTCATCATCGAGATCACCAAGGAGGGTATAATCAGATTTATCCCATAAGCCAAGGTTCTCCTCCTGATGCGTATGTAATAGTACAGCTCGTGATATACTGAGTCTCCAAATGGAGTTACCACACGAGTTCCAGGTGTATCTGAATGCACGAAAAGTGTTTTTTAGAAGAGATTTGAATTGTAAATGACCTACTCATAAGATCCCATTCTCCATTTTGTATGTAAACTTGCAAGTCGATGGATTCATTCACAGAATAGCTTTCAGGATTGTCACCATATGGGCGTTTGGCGGCATTTACAGGATAACCTTTTACACCTAGAGCAAAGTTATAAAGGTACGACAGGAATCAAACCTATGGACTAGAAATTTTCACTTTCTTGGGAAAATGTCAAATTATCAGTAATTCCATCAGGCACCAAAAATGTCACTACTCAATTAAACTCGCTATCATTTTATTAGATAATACAAACTCGCCTATGATTTGAGTTAACATGAAATCAAGATTTATGTAATTGCCGCTATACGTCCAGCTGCCCAACTTCAAAAAACAAGTTTGGGTGTCGAATGGGTAATACGTTACATCAACCTTAAACAAAATTTTCGTTCTTTGCAATAAAATATTTAAGATTGATAGTCTTGTGGAGTAGAAAATTGATGAATCACAAAGGGATAATAGACGGAAATAACGTTAGGTGGTATGTTACCAACGCTATTAAGACTAGTATAGAATAACTACTCAAACGCTATATTCTCAACACATAACATATAACAAGAAATTTCTTTCTCAAAAACCATCATGAAGTGAGGAAAATTTTGAAACGTTTCTCACCTTGCATATAAAACGAAATATTCCCGGTGGATTCTGTTGGACTTCACCATCATAGTTTACAATAAAGCGAGAAGAGTACGTCGAGTCAAATGCCTCCGATACGCTTAAAAAGTAAGATTTTTGCATAAGGAGAGTGGATGCGCTAGCAATTAGCAGAATTTTCCAATGTTGCTTGTTGCTTTTAAAGAAGCGATAATGACTGCAGTGGCGAAGTCAAAAATGACAAAACTGGACTAGCAGTTAATAGTAGGTTTTTCCAAACTGCCAAAATTCAAATACCCCCAAATCAGGTACATGCTTACTTTTGCTTAAAACCCCTTGAACCTATTTTCGTTTCCGCCTAATCTCTCACAAAGTGATATCAAGGAGGTTACAAAACTAAAGTAACAATTATTGTGCACTTTCTTGTTTTTCTGATCTTTGCTCATTAAGACAATAAATCTAGCACAAC